AGCAAGAATGAGACCCTGCTCACCCACCCCCCACAAATGGAAAAATTAATCAGGTGTCATGGAGGCATTGTCATCTCAGCTACTCAGGAGGCTGAGGCAGTAGGATCGCTTAAGCCCAGGAGTTTGAAGTTGCAGCAAGCTATGAGGATTCCTGGGTGACGGAGTGAGAGGCTAGCTCAAAAAAAAAAAAAAAAAAAGTCAGACTGAGCAGGGTGGTTCACCCCTAACCTCCTAGCACTCTGGGAGGCTGAGGTGGGTGGATTGCTTGATCTCAAGTTTAAGACCAGCTTGGGCAAGAACGAGATCCTGTCTCTATTAAAAATAGAAAAAACTAGCTGGATGTTGTGGCAGGCACCTACAGTCCCAGCTACTCAGGAAACTAAAGCAAGAAGGCTCTCTGGAGTCCAGGAGTTTGAGGTAGCTGTGAGCTATGACACCATGGCACTCTACCGAAAGTTTTTTGAGACTTAAAAAACAAAACAACCCCCCCCCCAAAGTCAATATTGTGCAAGGATGGAAAATGGACAGACTGCATTAAACTAAGACTAAAGACAATTGCAACGTACAATCCTGTAATAAATCTTGATTCTAAACAATTTTTTTAAAGCAATAAAAGGCATCTTTAAAGTATCTGGGAAAATTTTAGTATGGTTTGGCTATTAAGTATTATAAAATTATTAACTTTCCTCGGTTTGATAATGGCATTGTGTTATGTAGGAGACTGTCTGTGTCATTGGGAGTTGCTTGTGAAAGTGCGTATGAATGCACTGGGTGTGTGTGTGTGAGAGAGAGAGAGAGAGAGAGAGAGAGAGAAAGGCACAAATATGGCACAAATCAATTAAACAGGTGGAAAGTAAAGGGTGCTCGTAGTAATGTTATTTCCATTTTTTTCTGTTTGAAAATGTTTATAATAAGACGTTGGAGAAAGAACATATGTTTGTATTTGCATTAGTAAACAATGGAAAGATGCATTAGAAACACAGAATGGTTGCCAGCGAGAGGGGCTGGGAGTGAGTCTTGCTGCTATGTATGTTGTTACAGGCTTTTGAGTTTTGAAATTGTGACTGTTACTTTTATTTACAAGCATATGCTTACAACAAAATACATATCTAAATCAGAACTTTCCTTAAAAATCTAGATTCTTGGCTTCTCTCGGAAGCAGGAAATTGGAAGAACAGATGACTTTGCTGGCCCTTCCCACATAGCACCACTAGTAGGAGCTACTAGTGGGCAGGTGTGGGTGCTCCCCTGCAATGTGGGAGCTCCACTGCACTGCTGGCCCCTTCTTCCCCACCCTTCCCTGCCCAAGGTGATCATTTGTCTTTCCCATCAGGGCACCTCTGGTGATCTCTATGCAGTTTCTGAAACCCTCACCCCTCCAGTTACCAGGCTGGAGCCTAAATAGGGCCCTGGACTGCACCCCACCCCCCACCCCCAACACCAACCCCTGTTGACTTTATCCTCTAAATACATTCCAGATTCCTTCAGAACCAAGCTCCTCAGCCCATGCAGGGTTATTTCCTGGGCCCAAGGGCCTTTGCTCTTATTCATGGGGGATGTAAGGAGGGGATGTTTCCCTCCCATTTCCAGATGGAGAGATGATCTGATGACGTCACTATTGTTGCTGTCATTATGCCTTTTATCACCGCACCCGCCAACCTCTCAACCTCTGCCCAGTTCCCTCTCTATTAACACCACCACCACCACATCCATCAGTATTTGTTGAGTTTTTTTTCTTTTGAGTCAGAATCTTATTCTGTCACCCTGGGAAGAGTGCCATGGCATCATCATAGCTTACAATAACCTCAAAACTCTTGGGCTCAAGAGATCCTCTTGCCTCAGCCTCATGAGCAGCTGGGACTATAGGTGTCTGCCATGACAACTAGCT